CCAAAACAACAGGTTTCTACTCACGTGACGTTAATCTTGCAAAGGCCAATGAGCGGATATATGATGAGGTCAAAGATGGGCACGAAGAGGAGAATCAGCAGAGCGTTCAACATCTAGTGAAAAAAGGGAGGGGAACCCCACCGTTAGATGACTATAAAACCTCGTAAAATCATAAAAGTTTGAGTAATATGTGAATAAAAGACTCATGATGATTCCATTTAGACTGTAAAGAGATGGCAGAGATAAAGCTGTAAAAATGTTTTCACCAGAAAGCTGTTTTTGTACACGTGCAGCATCTGCACATGATAAATAAGATTTTAAGAAAAACAAGAGCAGAGGCAAGATCAAACAAAAAAAGGAATAAAACAATGTTACAAATTCATGGTAACTCGCTTTACTTTTTTACATGAAAAATACATGTTTCCAGATAATTAGCAGATGTAGAAAGTATATATTTACATATATATATTCAGCAGTATAGGGATTAAATTGACCAGATTACACATTTTCTACAAATATGTACTATGTAAATGTTAGAGCTACAGTATGAGTGTTGATCAGGCTGTTCACTACAAAGTTTAAGTGAACAGTCGTCCCATATTTTTAGGAAAAAAATAACACAAAATGATTCAATATATAACAACTAGACAACAGTAAACATATGCTGTATTAAGTGTGTTTAATTCACACAGAAACAGGAAAACATGGTTCATATTTTTCATACGCTGCTTTTTTTTTTTTTGGCATGTGGCTGAATTTTGTAATTAACTCTCAGGTGTTAAAGTGGACCCATTATGCCATATTGGAAACAAATATTGTAGGGCCATACCACAAAACATGTCTGTGAAGTTTTTTGCTTAAAATACCAAACAGATCAGCCATTGTAGCCATGCCTCATACTGCTCATACCCCTCTATTCCAGCCCTGTTAGAGAAACGCGGATTTTGGGTCCTTCGCTTGAAACAAAACAAAAAAGGAGGCGGAGCTAATGCCTGATCAGAATTCTACCGGAGATAAAGTTAAATTCTGCTGTGATAAAACGCCATCCTGCTCTAAACCACATCAAGGATTATCTCTGAAACAGTATGGCGCTCAAATGCTTTTTCTCTTGCGGGTTATACCACAAGGTGAGTTCCTTTTTTATTTCCTGCTTTTAAAACACACGTGCTCTCCAGTACAGGTTAGCTCTGAGTGTTAGCGAGGCTTGCTAATGTAAACAAAGATGAGATTACGTCCAAAAACACGTCAGGCATTGTTTCTGATAGCAACTTTCTGTGGGTCTGCCGCCGATTTGACGTCATATCGGCAGCAAATCTGTATCCGCTCCGTTGTACCCACGTTTTTTAAAAATGTGGGTACGGAGGAAAAGAGAAAGGGTTTTATTTTCTGACGCTGCGTGAGTTCCCTGACACACCGGGGACACATGTTTATGTATAAAAGACATCAAAAAGTGCATTTTGCATGATAGGTCCCCTTTAAAGTATTGATTATTCACTATTCTGAAATGTCCTTGTTGTGCACTATTACTTATTTGCAGAGAACCCTGAACTTACCTGCATTTGGTCTGGCTGAATGGTGAAGAAATCTCCCTGTAAAAAAAAAAGATTGGTGAGCCGAAAACATTTTGGACTCTTTACGGTGTGCATTGGTTTATTCGGAACATAATAAATGATTCACTAGAATAAAATGCTAAAATTGCAACACCGCCCTAAAGGAGAATCAGTTTTACAAGACAGTTTGTGCAACAAGATGAATATCAAAACCCACCCACTGATAAAGAGCAATAAAATGTTATTCAGATTAGGAAACTCTTACAAAAGCCATGTTCATCCTGGTGGATTGCAGCGTCCAGCGGGAACCCTGCCATAAAGAAAAACACAGATTTTTACTGTCAATGTATTTTAGGGCATCATATACTCTGTTAGCTTAGCATGAATCTAATTTGTAAATGTTTGACATACTGTATATCTTCCATGTGTGTTTAAATGAAGAATGAAGCTCAGGAATGTCTAATGTGGCATTGAGGTTTCCCATAATCACACGGTTGTGTTGAGTTTCGGCCAGAGGAGATGATAACAGGTAGTTATGGGATTTTATAAGAGCACCATGACACAATAAGTTGACCTTGTGCTGACTAAAACACTGGTCAGGCACAGTATGTACAATCAATAGTGCAATTTAGTGCAATCAGGGCAGGATTTTTATCTCAAGCAAAGGCTTTTTGGTGCATGGAACATTTTACATGTTACCTTCAAAAAGGTAAGAGTCATATTTATCCCCAAAAATATATGATTTAACCTTCCAACTATATTTTTTGTCATAAGAACAACATCAATTTATTTACTCATTATCTTAGTCAAATGTAAAGGCAATCAGACTTTACATAGAAACTTCCTCTGGAGGGAACACAGGGATTTTAGCCTTTGCAGACCATTGACATGCACAAAAACGTATATGATAAACTACAAATAATAATAGGGCCTCTTTAAAACCAAAGTAGGCACAAATCATAAGAATGATTTCAACTCATCCTGAAGGGGGCATGAATGGATGAACCAAATGTCGTGGGATTGGACCAGTGATGGAGCAAAATTGCCATGCAAGAGGGTTTATTTTGTAAGAAAAAGTTTGTCTTCAAGTACCTGCTGATCAAACAGAGCCCAGAACATCGGCAGTGGGATGTAGAGCACCAACACACGCAGAACCATCTTAATCTCCTGGATCAGACGCTTCTGTAGAAACACAAACACACACACACTGGACGCATTATAGATACACCAAAAACATCAATGACACACTTTTACTAAAGCACAAACATCTAGACGACAAATACCTAGTTTTTGAAGGATCAAATGTACAAATACACACACTAGATAATGCTCCCATCCATATTTTATAATTTACCACTGTGTGGTCTTCTTTTTGGCTTTCTTAAGTGTGATTCTCAATCAAATAACATAAATATTCCAGCTGTTGCATGCAAGAGTCTTTGTATTACCGAGTACTTCTCCTCAGCCCAGTCCAGCCAGTGTTTCTTCTGAGAGTCATACTTTGATCTCTTCCAGCGGTTTTTGATGGCAAACTGCAAACAAAAAAAATGTCACCTATTATACAAAATCCACTTTTTCATGTCTTTTCTACATCAACATGTGTCCCCTCTGTGTAAAGAGATTCTGAAAGTTTCAGGAAAAAAGATTCTCTCTCTTTTTGTCCTGATCCATTTATATTAAAAACCTGGCTGATGATGAGCTGATTTTGGCCACTTTATGATGTCCTAACGATGTTTTGGCTTGTGTAACCATTAGCCAATCACCAACCAAGGTAACCAAACACTTCAGAGACATGTTTTGTATATCTGAGACCTATATATATTGATGTATAATAGGGGACCTTTAATAAATCACGTGATATGGGAGCAATGGGAGATGACTCACCCCGATGCAATTACAAACTTCCAGCAGGATGTTTCCCTGGGGAGGAGACATCTTGTACATCCCGCTGCCAACAGTGAACACAACTGCAAAATATGGATCAAGAGTTAGTGCTGTTTATGTTGGAAATGACTCTGCTGTTGTGCAAACAATTACTCCACTCGCCTGGTATCAGAACTACTATATATGGATTGGTGGAATGTCACTAAGTTTAGTATCAAGGCTATAAATTAGATTTTCAGACACTTTTATTATGTGTAAAGCTATATATAATGCATACTGTGAAAAGACCTCAAGAATCACTGTTTTTTTGTTAACGTGAAAGTCAAATAATTCCTATTCATAACAAAAAAAAAACAATACAAATAAAAAAAAGTTTTAATGTAAACCATAGACTGTATATATAAAGATTTAAACGTATAAAATAAAAAATAAATTAAACTTTAAATTAAAAGATAAAAAAAAAAAAAGTTTTTAAAAAGTGGGATCAAAATAATAGCACATTCTACATATTGAGAGCTAATACTTCAGTAATTTGACTTAAGTATGACTTTGAACGCAGGACTTAACTTGCACTGTAGTATTGCTACTTTTACTTCTTGTACCTTTGTTTTTCTCCTCTTCTCCGCATGAGAAGAACCAGCACTATCTGACAGAGTGGTTTATGGATGCTTTGTCCTCTTACAATGGCTTGTGAAATTCTTCAAGAGGGAAAACATGTGACGCACGGTAAACAAGTCTCTAACACTGAGTCCGTACTTTGTGTACTCTGCAATGTGTTCGGGGCCCCTCCGGTAATATAATCACAGCTTGTTTTCACAGAGACCTGTCTGTAGAGCATGATGTTTCAGAGGGGATTCAGAGGCAGAGACAACTGACTGTCAGGACAAATGAGTGGGGGTCTTGATCAAGAGGAAGCCCAGCACACCAGAAGCTGGACTTTATACAAACGATATCACAATAACAGAAAAAGTCTCGATATCAATTCAGTATCAGGGTAAAACACAACAACAAAAGCATCAATGTATTTCATCACCTTTGTTACTGTTTGCACAATGTTTTTTTAAGGAAGTTAATCAAGTCATAAATACTTCTCCAATATCTTTTTTATACTCCTGGAAAACAACAATTTATTCATGTGTCTCACCAAAATACTTTTTTAACAAGATCAGAAATGAACACTTCCTGATAACGTTAAAATGTACCTTTTTTTATAGCTACTCCCTTACTGGCAGCGAATCGCTAACAGCGAACAGCTCACAAATAACATTTAACAGCTAACTAACAGCGAACAGCTAACAGCTAAAAGCCAACAGTTAACAGATAACAGCTACCAGCCAACAGCTAAAAGCTAACGGCTAACAGTGAACAGCTACCAGAAAACAGCTAACAGCTAAAAGCCAACAGTTAACAGATAACAGCTACCAGATAACAGATACCAGCTACCAGCCAACAGCTAAAAGCTAACAGCTAACAGTGAACAGCTACCAGAAAACAGCTAACAGCTAAAAGCTAACAGCTAACAGTGAACAGCTACCAGAAAACAGCTAACAGCTAAAAGCCAACAGCTAACAGCTACCAGCTAACAGCTAACAGCTACCAGCGAACAGCTAATGTTAACTAGCTCTTCTCCTGCTCATTTCAACACAGATTAATTGTTTACAGTGTATCATTATCAGAGTAAAATATTTGGGGGCAGCTTCTGGATTAATTAATAGTGACTTAAGAGTATACACATAATTGTCCCTGAAATAGTTTGTTAGTCAATTAGTTATTAGTCAAATGTGGTATTGACTTAACCCTTATGTTGTGTTCGGGTCTCCCGTGACCCGTTTCAAGTTAAAATGATATAATAACTAAGCTCTAGTTTTTTTTTATCGGAACAAGGCTTCATGATATCCTCCACAACAGCTATATAAACACTACAAAACTGATTTTGACAATTTTAGCCAAGTCTGAAGGTCTCTAAAAAATAAAGTGTATAATTTGGTGTTCGGGTCTGAAGACCCAGCAGCATTGTTTTGGGTCACTCGGGGTCAAATTTGGCCCAATCAAGATTCATCTATGACTTTGAAATAAGCTTTTGCATTTATGCAAATTGTTTTACATAACATACTAGATCTCCCTTGCTTGGAGAAGGGTGTGATGGGGATGTTGTAACTGAAAAAGACACTGACCATAAAGCGAGATTGAAGATACACGTGGCAGAAAAAAGCTCCCTTAGTAGTAGTAGATGGTAGAGGAGCTCAGACATTCTATTTTATTTTCAAATATTGATGGAATTAGCCTCTCACCATATCGGAAAGAAGATAAAGTTATGCAGCCACCATTCATACTGTCACTACTGGATGACATTTGTCTGGAGGGTGTTTCAGGTGGATCGACACTCACCTAAAGCCACGATCATCAGAGCTGCAGGAACCCCGAAGGCCAGAGCGTAGCAGTCTCCACCGAAACACTGCACATCACCTGCAGGAGACAAGCCAGCGTTAAAAGGCTTCAACACAACAGACATCTTTGTGTATGATTTGAATGTTGAGAAAGTGACAGCTCACTTCTCAGTAATGGTGTAATCACAGTGGACAAGAGGCTCCCAGCGTTAATCGACATGTAGAAAATGGAGAAGAACTTCTGCCTCTCGCTGCCCTGCAGGTGATCAACGAAATTATGAAATTATAACATGTTTTTAAAATAATGTATTTTGTCCTCTTTAAGTACCCACAAATATTTCAAATTAGTTTTCAAATAACTGATTATTGTGTTAAGCTAAATCTAACAGCTTTAAGCCCCGTAGAATTCTGTGCAACCCATTTTTAACTTGTTTTGTTGTTTCTTTCTTCAGGCAAACCTAAATTAAATCTGCACTTGCAAATTCAGCATACACTAAAGAAAATCTTGTTTTATTTGGTGTGCACATCACAAAATTCCTGTGTTTGTTTGACCACACTTTTAACACCACATCCATTGCTATGAGTGTCTAATAATTATGAGGAAAAGGTTTAAATTAAGGTTATTAAAAAGCATGGTGCGTCTCATATAGATGTCAAAGGTTGACTTGTGCGTCGGTATCAAGACAAAGATGCCCATTACCTAAAAGCGTTTGTATTTGAGGCCCTGGAAGTGAAACCAGGCTGGAATTTTTACGAGTGAGCTGCTGTGGCACAACCATTTACAGCTGATTTTATAGACGCCATAACTTCCTCTTGTGTCTTTTACACAGAAGACCTAAAGAAACTCTTTGTAAAACGATCACTTAAATATATGGGGTGGGTTGCGGGGTAAGTTGTTACATCTATAGAAACATCAATAACACATCAAAATGATTTCTGCTCCTATCTTTTTTGTTTATATACACCTAGATTTTACTGATTCATTCTAGACATTTTTCCTAATTTTGTCCATAGAATACAAACATCACGTGAAGAAAAAGTGTAGAGACTTACATGTTCCTCGTCAAACTGGTCTCCACCAAAAGCCGCTACACAGGGTTTGATTCCTCCGGTGCCGAAAGCAATGAGAATCAAACCTACCATGGACAGAGCGCTGCAACACACACATATATACACACACTATAAGTCTATTCTTTTTTAATCGACCACCAGAAAAAAAAACCTGGTTGAATACCTCTGGATTCCACATCTCTGACCATTTTAAGTGAAAGTGAAAGACTATTCATCAGCTCCTGATTACTTACATGTGCACGTCGCTGCTCCCCACGGTGGGAATGGCTCCAACCGACTTCACCACATGTCCGATCACGTAGACAATGGACAGGTAGATGATGGTCCTGTGGAGAGAGACATTACGCACATTCAGAGCTGCACTTATTATTCATGATCTGTGAGTGTGTGTGTGTGGTCATTGATTCACCTCCACTAATAGAAGGTGTTGCACATTTACACAAAGCTCTCAGGTTAAAGGAGTTAAAATACTGCCTGATGTATGGTGTGCCTATAAATGGTTTTTCAAAGGCTAACATCCCTTTGTTCCCTTCCCTGAAATGCCTCCATTGGACTCCTTTGTTTACTTCTGTAACATAGTGTTATGACCTGGCTCAAAAGGCCACAACAAAGAGGAGACACACCATATCAACGGTTTAACAAAAGATGTTTATTAAAGCAAGTGGTTCAAATTAGCCAAATTAATTAAGTGCAAAACAAGTCAAGCATGAGGTGTGGATGTCAGTGGTTTAAATGCAGGGTGAGGATCGCATTGACATGTATGAGTGTGAGAGTGTTGAAGTGCACTAAAGTGAAGCAACTGAAGAAACTCATAGCATACTCAACCGAAACCGGGTGCCTGTAGGAGGAAGCAGAGGGAAGACAGAGAGGAGCAGAGGCTTTAAATAGCTGCAGGGCGCCAGACCCAGGCACCCTGAGTTACTGCAATCAAGGCTATCAAGACGGCACAGCCACACCCTCTCTAGATGAACCCACAGGGGCATCACACATAGGGACATCACTAAATAACACTCGCACTTCTATTGGCTAGCACTCCAACAAATTGTACGTGATAAATTAAGGGGCGGGACATCTCTAAGCGGTTGACTAATCACAACAGAGCCGGCCAGCTAACCAATCAGAGCAGACTGGGCTCTGGTTTCTGACAGAGGGTGAAAAGAGATGCTGCAACACAGGCAGTATGAGAAAAATAAAGAGCTTTTTGAACATTAAAGCATGGAGACATGTCCCAGTAGAGGCATAAATACAAGTAAGAACCTGAACATTTGAATAATATGTCTTATATAATGCATGTGGGGATGAGACAGGGACTCACTTGTACTTTCCGAGCCAGGAGTCAGCGATGAGCGCTCCCAGGATGGGGGTGAAGTAGCAGAGGCTGCTGAAGGCGTGGTACACGGCGGTGGAGAGGTCCTTGTCCCAGTGCAGGTAGGTGAGGAAGTAAAGCGTGAGCACCGCTGTGAACACACACAAGCATGAGGCCTCAAAATCCCATATATCCCGTAACTTCTTTATTATAATTTCTTTTTTTATCGTTAGTACTTTTTCTTTTATGCATGCTTAGGAAACATTAACCTGTTTCGGCTCTTTTCTGCTGTAACAATGTACATTTCCATTATGTGGGACTAATAGGGAGGCTGTGGCTCAGTGGATAGTGTGCTGGACTTCGAATTAGGGGATAGCAAGTTCAAACCCCACTGCAGTCAGCATGTCGTTGTGTCCCTGGGCAAGACACTTCACCCCAAATTGCTCCTGTGGGGATTGTCCACAGTACTGAATGTATGTAAGTCGCTTTGGATAAAAGCATCTAAGGTATTCTGATATATTAGTAATATTAATAATAATTTTTAATGCTAAAAACCAAATTACTGTTCTAAAAATGACAGTGAAATGTAATAAAAATAACAAAAGCAATCAAAAAGACATATACTAATCCGGTGTTTATTGGGAGCCATTATTCAGTCTTTGGCAGCAAATGGTCACATTGCGTTGACCAGGACTTTTGTGTGCAAAGGAATGCATTTATTTAAAACTCTTAATTAGGTTTTTGTTATTTTCTCTATTGATTTATTCTTAATATTTGTATTAATTGTCTTTTATCCGTCTATTAAATTGTACTTCTTAAAACTGCCTTTAAAATAAGGCAGATGCTATTTACACCCGGGTGTCTGTAGCTTACAATGCTATTTACACCCGGGTGTCTGTAGCTAACAATGCTATTTACACCCGGGTGTCTGTAGCTAACAATGCTATTTACACCCGGGTGCAAATAGACACTCCGTTAAAAATAATCAAGTTAAATTCACTTCCTGCAATACATCTGCCTCAATCCTCATCTTTAAATTGAATTTTTAACACAAGGTTTTAATTTAAACTGCTTGAAGAGGAAACAGCAATTTCATGGCATGTTTACATGTGTGTATGTGTGAATGATTGAAGTAACGTGACAGACATGTGAGTGTAAGTAAGGTCATGTGATGGGAGGACAGAGACGTATCTGTCACTATAGCCTCTCTGTTAAATCCACCATTGACTCACACACTTAACCAGATTAACAAGCATTTTACAGGCATTGTATATGTGAATATGTGAAACATCAAACACACATAAGGAATCGATAATAAAGGAGGAAAAAAAGACACTGTAGTCCGGCTTTTGCGCACATGAAAATAAAGCCTTTGAATCTGTGTATAGTGTACACATGTACATTGTTATATAATACAATAATATGCAGTATTTAATGTTTCATTCAGTTTTAACTCATGCTATTAAACTTCCTATTTCTGCATTTTTACTGATATCATTATGTCACATGCACTCATTCGGACACATTTTATTTGTTAGAATATTGTATGGAAATTGTTGGAGGAGCTTTAATACGTTCTTTTTGTTCTTTAAATCTTGAAAGTGTGCTTACCTTTCATGCCATAGTAGGAGAAGCGTTCGGCAGAACTCGTTCACCACTATGAAGCAGATGCTGACTGGGTAGTTGGTCCACATAGTTTCTAAAAAACAACAACATGTGTTTACTAAACTAGGTCCAACACAACAACAACACACAGAATGAGACACTAATTACCATAAACAAATCCAAGATCATGCATTTTCCTCTATCAAGTTTCACAATCTGGGAAAGATGTGATTTATTTTTTGCCGTGGAATGACAGGAATGTGGTTGATGCATACTCCGTGTTACTCAATCACTTATAACGTTAGTAAAGTAAATCATTATGAAGAAGTAAAGAGTTTTAATATGATCATGCTCAGCTGAACTGGGTGGTAAATGTCAAATGTCATTTTATTATAAGAGGATGTACTGCAGGTTAAGTTACTTTCATGTGCCGATTATTGTTGAAAAGGCAAAGTCGTTTAAAAACACCTTCATTTTAAATAGCCTCTGATTAAACAAAGGAAGTACAATTCAAAACACTGAATTATGTTGTAATATATAAGGTGTTGGTAAAGATTGCACCCAGAACTACTCAACATGAATGCAAGGATATGCTGCATTCACCTGTTGTGATTTTACCTTTTACATTTTGTATGTATTTTAGTTTTGCTTTCCAATGGACTTCGGCGGCCAGAAAATATGTCAATTTGACCTTCTGAACTTGTCCATGACGGTGGGTGTTTCTCAATCGCGAGTAAGGTAAGCTGCTTCCGAGCACTATTTCCAAGCATACTACGTCATCGAGTGCCGCCGAAGTACTGTTCCAATCTCCAGTATACTTGGAATCTACCGAGCCCGGCGTACTCGTTTGGAGAAATATTGAGTGCACATGAATAGACTTCGCGGCCTTAAAATCCCCACAATGGCTTTGCGCACGGACCAATTTCCCCAAATCTGTGGCGGAAGATGTAAGGGTGGCCTCTCAAATGACGCACACCTGCACACTTGCTAAGCCTGTTCCACTCTTTGTTTTCCGAATGGCAGGAAGTATTCTTGACTCGCTTCTGAAGCAAGATGCTCGGCAGACATGTGCTACCAAGCAAGCGTACTCGCGATTGAGAAACACCCAATGAAGTAAATATGATTTGGATCATATGATTTGTGAAAGGACTTTAAGGTTGTGGTTGTTTTGTAAATAAGTCACTACCTCACTGTCAGGCTTTGTCACAGGGAGGGACTATTTCCTCAGTTGAAAGCTCTTTTTCATGAGAACTGATGACGGACAGATTTTTCCAAAATGTGGCAAATATGGGGCCAGGGGGGTGGGGATGAGAAATGAGCCTTAAAATATAGTCTATAACAATTGCAAGTATTTTTTTGCTTGACTATTTCCATGTATACATACGTCAGTCTACTCCACTACATCTTACAGAATTAAACAATTAAACGGTTTTTTTACTACACCCAATGTATCTGTTTAAGTCACTTTAATATTATTATTATTATTATTGCTTTTATTATTTGTATTTCTTTATGTTTTTTTAATAACATTTTAGATATGGAAAACAAAGTTAAAATAAGCTCCATCTTTGTCAGCTGCAGAGTTGTTAACATGTTAATGCATCAATCATAAATAAATAAAAATGCACATATTATTCTCACCAACATGTTCAAAATTAGAACTTTTTGTACTTTAAGTTAATTTTAATGCTGATAGTTTTCCACTCAAGTACACTTTGAATGCATGACTTTTTACTTACAACAGAGGATTTCTACACTTCATTATTACTACTTTTGCTTAAGTTAAATTCCCTTTTCTCTATATGTGTTGATTAAACTCCTCCATCCCATGTACAGTGAAGCCTGAGCGTCTGTTGCATCATCTCACTGCTGTCATAATGCAACATAACGGTTTACTGAAACCAGTCAGAAATAAACAATCAGACTGTTTTACACGAATGCAGTTTGGAAAAAAACACAATAAACGCACTTCCAATTGATGCATTTGAAACACCACGTCCCTGTTTGCAGAAACAACTTTTTAACGTTTGATTTTCATGCATACTTTGTAAACACTTTAAGAACTGAACTAACTAAGCGACTACTTTAATGCTGCACAAAACCCTCTCCTGTGCTTACCTTCGCCATATCGCGTTATTTGCCGGAGAGATTTGGGATGTTTCCCTCTGCAGCCCGAGCTCCTGAATGAGATCAAGCCCAGCCCACTTTGCTCTCTGAGGACACGGGTGTAAAACCTGTACCATGTAGCCTCTTAAAACAGACTTAAAAGTTAATATTACACCATAAAACCTGGACTGGTTCCTGGTGTAGTTCCAGTGTGTCTCCACAGACTTCAGCTCCTGTGAGAAACTCTCCCAACTCGCCTAAATGAGTGTGTATGTGTGTAAATGACTGTATGGAGCCGCCTCTCTGCAGCTACAATAGTGTGGTTGTTTCGGATGGAGGGTCAACCTGGCCTGCAAGAGTCCGCCAAGCCGCCTCTTTAACCGGATCAGTGACGCCGAGAGATTCACCACTAACTGCGGTGTGTGTGTGGTGTGTGTGTGTGTGTGTGTGTGTGTGTGTGTGTGTGTGTGTGTGTGTGTGGTGTGTGTGTGTGTGTGTGCGCGTGCGTGTGTGTGGGGGGGTTACAAGTCTTATTACAGTGAAATAGTTATTTTCTTTAGTCTTTTTCCGTGGTGGAAAGTAACTAAGTACATGTACTCAAGTATTGTACTTAAAGACTAGTTCTACATATTTTGTCTTTACTTTATACTTCTGCTCCACTACAAGAGGCGGACTATTTTATTTGTTTACAATACAATATTAGCTTTTTTAAGGATGCAACCTATAAGGTAAAGAATATGATCTCAGAATTTAAACTTTATGATCCTGTGACATTAAGCAGAGGTGGAGAAGTACTCAGATATTATACTTGAGTAAAAGTAGAAGTACTCAGATCTTGTACTTGAGTAAAAGTAGAAGTACCAGAGTGTAGGAATACTCTGTTACAGGTAAAAGTCCTGCATTCAAAAGGGTTATCAAAATTGTACTTAAGTACAGTACTTGAGTTAATGTACTTTAAGACATTAAAGTGACATTAAGTGATGTAGTAATTACTTTTTGTAATGAGATGACATGATGAAAAAAATGCATAATTCACCGCTTTTAGAGCAGCTACTGGAAGTGAGCTGTAATAATTCATTCAATATTTTATGTCAGTATCTTCCAGGGACCATGACATAAATACAGTAATATTTATAAATGTGCATTATTTTTGTTAAAGAAATAATAAATAAGAGCTAAATTAGCATGTTGGTAAATCATGTAGTGCCAGAACTGTCCACAAGAGAGCAGTATTGGTCTTTTACTGTACAGAAAGAAGCTACAATAACAACACAGCACAAAGGGAATTTAAAAAAAACAACAACATATGTTTATCTCTAAAGCAGAAGAATGAAAGAATAATTAAATAATTAGTTTTATAAAGACAACCTTTATGTGTCAGATGATACATGTCGATCATGGAAGAAAAGAGGCCACATTATTTGTTTAAAATGTAGGGAACATTGTTCTGATAAATGTTGTCTTATCACAGCAGCAGTGTTTCTTACATCTAAGATGGGAACATTTATGTCAAAAACTAATACTATTATTAAAAAGGAATAGATTGTAATGGAAAAACACAAAATAAAATGTACAACAAAAGGCCACCGGTTGTCAACAAGAAAACATTTTCACAAAATAGATCAATGCAATCACACAGATGCAAACAATGAAGAAATATTCACAAGGAGATGCAAAACATTCACAAATAGACCACAAAACAACTACATAAAAACGTAAAATGTCCAAAAATAAATGGTCAATTATTACAAATTGTGCAAAAATTACTATAAAACCTGCACTGTTTGTAGTATGTACAGGACATAAGACGTGCCATCCCACTAACACCTGCACATATATATTTATTCATAATTATCTACACTCATTACTGTATATATGTATATTATACTCAGTGTTTTACCATATATTATTGTTGTTGGTTTTTTTCTTCATACTGTTATTAAAGGTTCATTTGTATTTATCGTGTGAACTCTTATCTGACCCGGGGATTATCAAAGGTACATTTTATTTGACCTTATCCTAAAGTTGAACTTTCGATTAACATTTTTGGGCTGGGGCGTTTAAATGTCCTGGGATTGACACACACACAAAATTAGAAAACACAAAGAAATGCCCTAAAGGCAGTAGTGGAAAGTACATTTACTCTGGTATTGTACTTAAGCACTTTTGATATATTTGTACTTTACCTGAGTATTTCCATTTAATGACATTGACAAGCTACAACACTAAAATAATCTTACATTATTATAACAAGATAAATAATAGCCATAATAATAAAAAATAAAAAAAGTACTTTTACTTTGATATTTGAAGTACATTAAGCTTTAGGGCTATTGTGCAGATCAAGTTTTGTTTTGATGATAATACTTTTGTACTTTAAAGGGGACCTATCATGCAAAATGCACTTTGTACGTCTTTTATACATGAATATTCCAGGGAACTCACCAAGTGTCAGAAAACACAATCCTCTCTATTTTCCTCCATACCCAAATCTCTAAAAAAGGGGCTGCAACGGATCTGATAAAAACTGATCCAGATTTGAACACTGTCCTGACGTCAGGACGGTGGCGCTACGGCTATTGGGCCAACTCCACCAATCAGGAGGAGACAGCCACAGCCATTGCCGTTCGAAAGCGCTGGAGACGCTGTAGTACATATGCCAGGCCAGTAGGTGGTGCTGTTCTCACAGAATCAGCCCTTGCAAATCCAGAGCTAAAAAATGTCAAATTGAGCAAAATGAGGCATGGCTAAAATGCATGATCTGTTTGGTATTTTGAAAAAAAAAAAGTATAAATATGCCTTATATAGGTATGGTCCTACACTATATTATTCAAATATAGCATGATAGGTCCACTTTAACTAAAGTAAAATGTTGAAATCAGGACTTGTAGTGGAGTATTTTAGGACTATAGTATTTTTACTTTTACTTAAGTAAGGGATCTGAGTACTTTTTCCAACACTGCCTAAAGGAGTTACATGTTTGTATTTTGGAATTTGGAAAACTAGCCAAAACACACATAACCATGAGGAGAAAATGCAAATGGGAAGCAGCATAAGAGATGTGGCATTATTAAATATATTTCTATTATCTTGGACACGTGATCATGGCTAAACCAATATTGTGTTAAATCTCCGATCTTCGAAGTAAAAAAGTGAAATTTGTGGGACTAAAACAAGATCAAAACTAGAGGAAAGGTTAATCCTGACCAAACAAAAGACTACAACTGTATCCAGCTTGTTGTGTGGTGCCTTCCAGCCGGTCCTCTTGATGTGACCGCTCCGTGCTTGGTAACAGGCGGGGACACGGTGTGAATACTAAGCGAGGCTCAGACAGAAACCCTCGCTCGGGGTCGGTCCAAAAACTGCAGGTTGATGGGTGTCGCCGGGCAGAGCAGGGTTCTGGTGATCGGCTCCACCGTGGTTCCTGTAGGGTCCGGACGCACCTCGTACTGCTTTATCAACTTTGAAATAACAAAGGAGAAACGTTAGTTAAAATGTGCCTCGGAGATTAAAGGTCACCTATTAGGCAAAATCCACTTGTTCATGTCTTTTCTACATCACCATGTGTCCCCTCTGTGTAAAGAGATTCTGAACGATTTTTTTGGCTTGTGTAACCATTAGCCAATCAGCAACCAAGGTACCCCCCCCCCACCTTATCACCTGAATCTCCTCCTAGAGCAGTGCTTCTCAAAGTGTGGTCCGTGAGCGCCCCCTAGTGGTACGTGAGTATATTGGTAACATTTCACATTTGAAATAAATACATTAATTTAAGTTTTCCGCACTCTGGTGGGAATATCTCCGCAATGGAGCGAGTTTAACTTGCGATTGCATGATACAGTATAGCCCAGCGCAACACCTTCGTCACACATGTTGCCACTTGTTTGTACCATTTTCAGGCGATTTGTAATCTGTTCTAGAAAAATGATGTGTTTTTTATTTTATTTCAAGAAGCGTATAAAACAAACAATGGATGTCTTTTATGAACATTTATCCATGCTGAAAGTAGATTTAGATGTTAGGAGTGAGATAGAGATTATTATCTAATATATGCATCCGATGAAGCATTGCATGAAGTCTGTTGATGATCAGAGGCTGTTGTTGGGGCTGCAAAAACGGCAGACCATGCAGGCCAGCCCGATGGTCACCAAGGTTCATGTTTTAATAGCATTTTTACAAAAAAAAAGCCCACGCGAGCCTAACATGTGAAGAAATGGCTTAGACCTCAGAAAGTTAAACTTGGGCCTGCGGCCATAGTTTTACTGTATTTTGTTTTGAAAATCCACAGCGGAGGTTTGTGTCGTTTGCATACCTCTCAGTAGCCAACGATCTGTGAGTCTGTTGTCTCGGACATAAACTCTGTAATAAATGTAGTCTACATTTCATAAGAGGTGTAAAACCTGTGAGCATTTTAAATCGCATTTGAACTAAATGCTTATATAATCTGTAGTTGTATTGTTGATTTCATGTGGGAACGAGGCGATATAGAGAAGGTTAAGCTGTCATTATTAGGCTGTCATTTGTTATACTGTTGGAGTGGTAAGCAGGCCTATTGTTTTTGGATATTTGTGGAGTTAGGTGGTCCGTGAGTATTTTTATTATTGGTTAAGTGGTCCTTAGTATGAAAAAGTTTGAGAAACACTGTCCTAGAGCACCATTGTGTTCTTTTTAACCAAATCTCTCTCAGAGGGGCGTGGGGAGTGGCTCCTTATTTTCATCTAAAGTAACAGACAGAGAATCAGCACTTTGGAAACAGGGCTGAAACAGAGGGGATTATGGGATGCTGCAATGATCTGTTTGGTGTTTCAGCCAATCACTTCAGAGACATGTTCTGTATATATCTGAGACCTGTCATATATTGATGAAAAACAGTATAATAGGGGACCTTTAATACTTACACACCAGTCAGGACATGTGAGGATGAACCCTTGTACCTCACGAGAGACAGGTTTGTCTTTTTGGAAAACTTTGTCCGTGTTAATGCACACGTACAGAGCAGGATTAGGGCCACATGTGACCCCAAAATATTTTTTCGAGATCTGACCAAAAGTGAATTTGGACTCAAGTCAAAACTGGGACAAAAAATACACTTTTGGTCAGACCTCTAATTTTGTATTAATTAATTAATGTATTTGTATGAGGGTTTACTAGACACTCGAATGCCTATCTTCATGTGAGTTTATATTTTAATTTGGAAATCTTAGAACTCAGTGGAGTACAGCGCTTCGCGATTGTCAACGGGGGGGGGGGGGGATAGCGTCAGTGGAGTACAACGCTTCGCGATTGTCAACGGGGGGGGGGGGGGGGTAGTAGAGTACAGAGCTTCGTGAACGTTGTGATCAGTTGTTTTAGCGCAGAGCCCTGTCTGTGCACACGGAGACCGACTCTGTCGTCCGGTGAAGGCAAGGCAAGGCAAGTTTATTTATATAGCACCATTCAACACAAGGTAATTCAAAGTGCTTTACAAAAATGGAAGACATTTTAAAAATGGCATTTAAAATCAGTCATTAAAAAGAAAAGATAATAAAATAACATTAAAAGAAAAAATACATGGATAAAAGTTAAAAGTTACAGTGCAGTTTAAGATGTGAATAGTTCAATTAAAGCAGCGGCCAAAAAGAAAAGTCTTCAGCCTGGATTTAAAAGTAGTAAGAGTTGCAGCGGACCTGCAGGTTTCTGGGAGTTTGTTCCAGATATTTGGAGCATAATAACTGAATGCTGCTTCTCCATGTTTAGTTCTGACTCTGGGGACAGAAAGCTGACCAGTCCCAGAAGACCTGAGAGTTCTGGATGGTTCATAATTTAGCAGTAGGTCAGACATGTATTTTGGGCCTAAACCATTCAAAGCTTTATAAACCAGCAACAATATTTTGAAATCTATTCTTTGACACACAGGAAGCCAGTGTAAGGACTTCAGAACAGGAGTGATGTGATCCACTTTCTTAGTGTTAGTGAGGACTCGAGCAGCGGCGTTCTGAATTAGCTGCAGCTTTCTAATAGATTTTTTAGTGAGGCCTGTAAAGACACCATTGCAGTAGTCAAGTCTACTGAAGATAAAAGCATGGACAAGTTTTTCCAAATCCTGCTGTGACATTAGTCCTTTAATCCTAGATATGTTCTTTAGGTGATAGTAGGCTGATTTAGTAACTGTTTTAATGTGACTGTTGAAAACTCAGGTCAGAGTCCATGACTACACCTAGATTTCTGGCTGTATCTGTTGTTTTGAACATTGCAGACTGAAGCTCAGCGCTAACTTTTATACGTTCTGCCTTGGCTCCAAAAACCATTACCTCAGTTTTATCTTTGTTTAATTGGAGAAAGTTCTGACACATCCAGTCATTGATTTGTTCAATGCACTTACTCAGTGTTTGAATTGGAGCATAATCTCCTGGTGAAATTGTTACGTAAATTTGTGTGTCATCCGCATAGCTATGGTAACTTATTTTGTTGTTTTTCATTATCTGAGCCAGTGGTAGCATGTAGATGTTAAAGAGAAGAGGCCCCAAGATGGAGCCTTGAGGTACCCCACATGTCATATTTGTCAACTCAGATGTGTATTTACCTATAGAAACAAAGTTTTTTCTGTCCTTTAAGTAGGACTCAAACCAATTTAGAACTGTTGCGAAAGTCCCACCCAGTTTTCTAGTCGGTCTAGTAATATGTTGTGGTCAACAGTGTCAAACGCAGCACTGAGATCTAATAATACTAACACTGAAGTTCTGCCACTGTCTGTGTTTAAGTGGATGTCATTGAAGACCTTTACAAGAGCAGTCTCAGTGCTGTGGTTTGGACGAAAATCCTGACTGGCACACATCCAAACAGTTATTTAAATGCAAGAAGTTACTCAACTGTTTGAAATACAACTTTTTCAATGATTTTACCTAGAAATGGCAGGTTTGATATTGGCCTGTAATTGTTCATTACTGAGCATCTAGATTATTCTTTTTTAAGAGCGGTTAATGACTGCAGTTTTCAGGGCCTCTGGAAAAATACCTGAGTGAAGAGATGTGTTTACTATATGAAGTAGATCTGAGGCCATGCAAGGAAAAACATCTTTGAAAAATCCTGTTGGAATAATATCAAGGCAGCAGGAGGAGGATTTCAGAAGTTGAATAATGTCCTCTAAGTTTTTACCATTAATCTGATGGAATTGTGTCATGGTGTTTGAATTGATATTAGGTGGACATAGGGACAAAACATTTGCTGTACCTGATGTAGAGGCACTGACTGCTTGTCTAATTTTCTGAATTTTGTCAGTGAAGAAGGAGGCAAAATCATTGCACGCCCTGGTGGATAGAAATTCAGAGGCTACTGACACTGGGGGGTTAGTTAGTCTGTCGACGGTAGCAAACAAGGCACGTGCGTTGTTTTTGTTTTTGGTAATGATGTCAGAGAAGAAAGACTGTCGTGCGTTTTTCAATTCCAAATTATAAAGGCCAAGTCTCTCTTTATAGATTTCAAAGTGAACCTGGAGATTTGTTTTTCGCCACCTACGTTCAGCTTTTCGACACTCTCTTTTTTCTGTTCTCACGGTCATGGCCTTTCTCCATGGAGATATTTTCTTGCTAATCACTTCCTTTACCTTAGTTGGAGCAATGGTATCTATAACATTTTTAATTTTTGAATTGAAATGATCTACTAGCTCATTTACTGAGATGTTAGCAGGGGCAAGTGTGGATGAGAAATTATGAGTAAACATTTCCCTAGTATTTTCTGTTAAATATCGCTTTGTGGTTACCTCTTCTGAACATTTTTGTGAACAGAAATAGAGCTCTCAAAGAAAACACAGGAATGATCAGAGAGTGCAACATCAGTCACCACAACCTTTGAGATATTCAGACCCTTTGAGATAATTAAGTCCAGAGTGTGCCCCTTATTGTGCGTGGGCTCCGCCACATGCTGAGTCAGTCCATAGTTATCAAGAACACAAAACAGTTCTTTAGCCCCTCTGTCCTGGGGGTTGTCAACATGGATGTTAAAATCACCAACAATGACTAAACGGTCAAAGTCAATACACACTATAGACAGCAGTTCAGTAAAATCATCAAAAAAGCTTGCACAGTATTTGGGTGGTCTATAGATATTTAGGAACAGAGCTCGAGAGGAGCATTTCAGCTGAAGGGCCACATATTCAAAAGAAGCAAAGTCCCCATAAGATGTCTTCCTGCATTGAATGGAATCATTGAACAAAATAGCAACTCCACCCCCTTTCTTATGCATTCTTTCCTGACTCATAAAACTAAAGTTGGGAGGGGTTGATTCGATAAGAACAGCTGCACTGTTATTTTGTTCAATCCAAGTTTCCGTTAAAAACATAAAATCGAGATTGTGCTCAGTGATAAAATTATTGATTAAAATGTTTTTCCTGCCAAAGACCTGACATTTAATAAAGCTAGTTTAAGTTTGTTAAATACACTATCAGTAAAAACATTTGTGACAAGCTGTGGCTGACATGGAATCACTG